TTTACCTTGTACTGGTGCTGTCTTAGGAGACCTAGCACTATTTTCAAGTGCTCAGCGTGCTCCTCTACAGTCCTACTGAAGATGAGAATATCGTCGAGGTACACGACGATAAACTTGTCCAAGTAGTCATGAAAGATCCTATTCATCGCGTGCTGGAACGTACCAGGCGCATTGCATAGGCCAAAGGGCATCACCACAAACTCGTACAGACCGTACCTGGTCTGAAATGCGGTTTTGTGTTGGTCCTCAGGCCTAACGGCAATTTGATGGTCTCCGGACTTCAGATCTATCTTTGTGAAGTACCGACATCCCTGCACTCTATCCAAGAGGTCGTCAATGCGGGGTAGGGGCTCCGCGTTCTTTACGGTGATGGCATTGAGGCCCCTACAGTCAATGCACATCCTTAATGGACCTCCCTTCTTAGGAACAAATAAGATTGGCGCAACGTAAGGGGAGGTACTAGTCCGTATCCATCCCTTCTCTGTGAGCTCTTTAAGCTGGCGGCGAAGCTCATCTAACTCCGCAGGAGACATCCTATAGATTCGTCCTCTAGGCACCTTACTACCTGCGACAACCTCTATTGCATGGACCACCTCCCTTTCCACCACGCTTGTGGGCTCCTCAAAAAGGTCTGAATATTGAGCGACGACTTTTTCTATCTCTGGGGGTGATTTTACGGCCTCCCCTTTCTCAGAGACAAAAACTAGATACATGCCTTCCTCGCGATTCTGTTTATAATAGTTATAGAAAGATGATGCACACATGCACCCATAGTTTTCTATTAGACTGCTAACTTTGAACTTTTGCAATCTAACAGATCTACCGTTGGGCAACTTGTGAATGAATACCTTTCTATCCCAGTCCAACTGTGGTTTCGCGGCCTCGAGGTAGTACATAACTAGGAGCATATCAAAAGGAAGTTCGTCGCTAACCAGAAAGGAGATCTTGTGGATCACTTCCCCTCCATAGGAGAAGGAACAGGCTACGTCCTTGACATAGTCTTTTACTATCATTTGGTGCTTGTTGGCTAGCGTAGAAGCTACAGTTCTGCTAAGCTGCTGCACTTGGTTCCCTAAACGCAGTCTATCCACACAAGCACGACTGGTGAAATTTGGTGTAGAGCGTGTGTCTGCGAAGGCGCCAATCTTGCGGCCACCTACATCTACTTCTACCACGAAATGTTCACCCTTTGGACCTCTATTGATCATCGCCCAAGAGTCCCTGGGGTCCTTCCCTGACCACTCAGTCTCTAACTCTTCTAGGGCCTCAGACACATCTTTCGAACAGAGCGTCGGTGGGTCTGTATGTGTCTGCGGGGCGATACCAGGGTCACTAGCCTTGGCCAACGACTGAAGTGGGGAAGGCAACGTTACCACTTCAGCGCGAGTAAGAGCGGCTAACACTCCTACTGGCCCGAGGTGTTTCCCTGTGAGCTGCTCGCAGAAGCACTCCCAGGGTTCGAAGGTAAGCCCACCACCGTTGGTGAGGCTACCTTCGTCGTGACTTTCTTGCCGCGGCAAGTCCTGGACGTGTGGCCAAAGTTGCCACAGTTCATGCATGAACCCCTGGCAACGCGGTCATGCCACACCTGCCTAACTCCTGCAATCTACTCTGTA